GTATATTTTAGTCGAATATTTCCTACAAACAAAAATATCTCAATGATGTGATTTTGTGCTAATAATGACATCAAAACACACTTGTAAGATTTTTTTCTTGTTTTCTTGCAACCCCAATTATCTTCAATAATCCAGTTTAGTTTTTGTAATGAATGTTATAACTTAACTGCTTAGCTGTTATTTCACCATTTTTCCTTGCATTAAAAAAGGACAAAAAAAAAAAAAAAAAAAGAGTTCCTCCCCCTTTTTTTCTTTTTTAAGGTTGAATTTGAGACTTGTCATCTATTGAGGAGCATGCCTTGAAGTACTTTCAAAGCTACAGGATCCTGGCATCAAAAAGGGGAGGAAAAAATATGCTTTAATGTGCATGATATGGGACTTAACCCATTAACGCCCAAATTAACAATTCTTGAAATTTTGCCTTGAAATTGATAGACATTGTTAGAAATGCATAAATTAAAAGTATTTCAAAAGCATTTTGAAAAATTTTAACTGCAACCATATTTTTTAAGCCGTTCTCATTTGAGAACACTGGGCGTTTGTATATAAAAATGTAAAATTTTTAAAAATCAAAATTTTTTACATAAAATGATTTAGTTTTAATATATAAACAAACTAATAGACAAAATAATGTTAAAAAAATCAAAATTTATTTTAAGACGTGTAAGAAAACTTTTTTTTTACATTTTTAAGATAGATTTTTTTTTATGGAAAAGAGGAAAGCATTGAATCCACAATGTTACATTGCATTTCATGCAATATGTTCTTGGCTTTGAGGCACAATTGTCATATTGGCAACGCCTTTGTTTATCTCTTTTTTTACCAATAACATGCTGTATTTTGTCGAATTTTATGTCAGGAAGCACGTTCGATCTGCATGTTATCCTCCTTTGTACTGGTCTTCCTAGGATTGCTTTTGAGTCGGCTCCTTTTTTCAAATAGGTTACTGCACTGTATCTCCTAAAATCTTTGATTGACATTGAACGATGGATCCTTTTATAAATGAGATAGGCATTTACAACAGCCATATCTATCATCCTAGTAATAAGACAAAAATACCATTTCTTTCCTCGTATGGCTATAGAATGTTTCTCAAGAAACCAATCATGAAGGTCGACACCCCCCATAAATGAGGTATAGGAACTTATAGCATGAGGCTGATTTACTTTCACCTTTTCTTTTTTCTCTACACTCCATCTTTGTACTGAAGATAGCGGCATTATTGTGTCAAAATTAGTGGCCAATGAAACACACTTATTGTCTTTCCATTTGACAACAAGAATTTCATTTGTTGTGTCAAATTTACTATCGTAAAACCCTCTCTCTTTCTTACTCATTTTCTTGTCATCCATTATTGGGCATTTTTCAGTACGATTTTCTCGAATTGTTCCACTAGCTCTAAACTTCAGTTCTTTCAGTTTTTTTAGTAACGCATGACTGGTAAAAAAATTATCAAAATAAACACGATGGCTCTTCGGGCAGTTTGTCAGATTCGGAAGTATTTGTTTCCTTTCCACAATACAGTGCAAAGTTATAACAGTATCCATCGTTGCCACACAGAGCCCAGAGTTTTATACCCAAATCTAATAGGTTTAGATTTTATAAACTGTTTCAGTGTATGATGACCATAATACCGGACGATCATTTCATCAACAGACAAATTTTCATGGAAAATGCCCCATTTTTGAAAATTCTTGGAAAGCATTTCTAACAAGGGACGTATTTTAAATGATTTATCATTCTTGTTATATTGATGTAATTTATTATCTTGGAAATGCAATAATCTTTTGAGCTCTAAGTAGAAATTTCTAGTCATAGCATTCTTCACTATTGTTACTCCTAAATCATCTGCTTCTGCCCAGTAGTCCCGTTCACTGGGTAAAGTATGATAGCCCGAAAGTATCAGAAATCCTATAAATGTTTTTATTTCATCTTTAGTCACATTATAATTCAATTTATTTTTCATTTCGTGAGCATATCGATTAGTTTCCTCTACGATCATATCATAAACACTTTCAGCAAAAAATTCTTCAAACAGCTCAACTGGACTCGTATTATTAGTTTGCGCTGTCAATATATCAGAATTTCTCTTGGACAAATTGAAAATTTTCCAAATTCCCAAATGTGTAAGCCGGACTTTCATTTGTCCATACAATTGACTCTCTTTTACGTTTACGGGAATTGTTTTCCTTTTCTTATCCGAAATAATAGGGTTATCATTATCATCTGGCATTGTAATTTCTAATGTACCTGCAACATCTGATACAACTGGAGTACCCAAATTATCATCATCGAATTGCTCTTCATCTGTTAGATCATCCACATCCAGAGGCATCGATATAATATCTGCTTCTATTTCTTCAGAAAAAAGATAAGCAGTCGCCTCTTCTAAGCTTTTAAATATTTTATTTCTACTCATTTTTCAAGATTTATTTATAGTTTTTCTGCAACAAAAGTAACAAACACTTAAAAAAATAAATCTGAATACTGTATAAAAACTATACCCAAACGCCCAGTATCCTCAAACGAGGACGGATATGTTTTCCTGTTTATTACGGATATATTTACAACAATAAATATTAACAAACATGCTAATGACACAATATGGGCTATCTAGATTATATTTATAACAAATTGAAAGAATTTACCTCATAAATCCAGTGCCATACAGTGGAACATAAAATAAACAACGCGATTACCAAAAAACGGGTAAATTATACTTTATCTTTCCCGCGCAATTTTACTTAGTTCCAAAATAATTGCACATCTCCCATTGTATGGTGGTGTCATCTATCGGACCAAATTATACATATAAAAAAATTTTTTAATTTAATGCAGGGAATAACAATTTTTTACAGCGTCCTCAAATGAGGACACTGGGCGCTAATGGGTTAATTTGAGAATAATAAACACCAGCAGTGTAACATGAAAAATTCTGACAAACAAATATTCATTTGAATCTCAAGTCTAGAGCTCATATTTATTTAACATTTTTTAATATGATACAGTTTATCTGTTAACTGTATCATATTAAATATGATACAGTTAACAGATAATGGTTAACAGATGAAATATGATACAGTATCCATACATCTAATTAAATATCTTTTATCCTTGATTATCTAATTAAAGAAAGAGTGATCTGTTCCTTTCAGCTTCTGCCAGAATGATCAACACCAGAAAGTTGGCAGGATCTTAATGGATCCCATGAATACATGGTTGATGGAAGAGAATTTGAGTATCATTTTTTATATAAACAACTACTATTTATATCAGACATGACCTTGAAGTTTGTTGACACTGGAATCTGTTACACCAGACATCCTCTCAGAGTTTGCTGTTGTCCATCTTCTTTAACCCTAAACTTAATAAATGTCTGACTGCATGTTATTCTGAATTTGAAAATTAAACAACCAAATAAATTTTTAGTGGATATGACTATTGTCTTAAAGAACAGAACACGCATTTTCAAGATCTGCAATCTCATATTAAACAAGTACGGTGTCCAGGGAGTAGTTGTTGATTTATAACTGCTATCTCTGGGCTTTTTGATATTTTAGCAGAGGCCTTTCTAATGGCAACATCTAGGAATCAAATCAGAAGTGTGATGTTAGAGCCTCGTGGGACAGAATCTGGACCAAGCCTTGAGAGTAAAGTACTTTACCTCATCATAAAAAAGAGCTCTTTGGTGCCAAATTCAAGTAGTTCAACTCTTTCAAATTTGCAAGTGCTGGGTCACTCTGGGTGTGGCATGCAAGCAACAATTTACTTTAATCTGGAACTCCCTCCAGAAATCAATCAAATAAACAGTGAAAATTATGCAGCATTGATTGCTTTTACCATACTTTTAGAATAAATTTTAGTATTTCAGTATACAAATTTGCTACTCTGTTTTTAAAACTTCAGATTTACCCATGAATTTTAAAATATAGGGAATAAAATTGCATTCACATGACTTTTACAGGCTATACTAATAGACTTTAAAATTTTTGAAAGCCAGATATGTTACAACCAATTGAACTCTCACTGGATATTATCTTACAATTGCTAGTTCGATGTGCTAACCACTCCATGGTATGAGCCTGCATGAGAAAAATGTTATTATTTCTCAATAAAAATTTTTACGATACTTTGCAAATGTTTCCTATTCAGAAAAATCGACTCAATCTTTTAATTCAATAATATATTACTAATATTTACACTGTTTCTTATATTTTTCATTAAAAAGTAAATGCAGCTTTATCGCATGCAGTATCAATATAGTTCATATCATGACTGTCAATAAATATGTTAAATTTTACATGTGGCCCCTGACACATATTTGTTGGGCCATGCAGCCAAGAACCTATGAAAGGCTGGATATCCCTGATTTAGATATCGATAGCAATAATGATATTCATTGCATTAGTTGCCATTGCTTTTATATTATTATTATCAAAAATAAATATATTTTCCACTCTAGTTGATTTTCAGAAAGTAATAAATTTTTATGCTTGTATAATCTCACATAAATATACAAAAAGCTAACTTAGTTAACATGATATATTTAGATGTTGTTTGCTGCACACTAATACCAACAGGTATGGGTTCACACTTCTATATAATGCATGGTAATTTGTGCCATCTCTCCTGTCCTTTGTCTTTATCCTCCGCCCATAAATTCTAGGCAACATTCTCACTCACTCATCAGATGTGAAATGATCAACAGATTCAGCCATCTCCCAGAAAATGAACTCGCCATTGAAAAAATTTAACAAATATATGCTACCATTGAAAAATTCTCATTTCAAACAGTATTCTTGCCCGTTATTAGTAACTATACTTTCTTATTATGTTATTCCTCGAGACAAATATTTCTCCGAGTATTTCACAAAGTTAAAAAGGTTAAAAAACACTGTTCTAAATTGAGGACAATTTATATTCCACTTCAAATGTATGCTTAAAAGTTATACTTAAAGAAAATACAAATAATAACTTTTATAAAAGTGTTTTTTATATGTTCTTCAATGCACATTCTGTAATACAGCTAAGATAAAAATTATCTTTTTAAAAACAATGTGAAGCAATTACATTAGTAAAATATGTATAATTAAATCTGCTCCTGGTGAATTCCATATGCATGCTTCTTCAATGCACATTCTGTAATTAGATGAAAACAGCTAAGATAAAAATGATCTTTTTACAAACAATGTGAAGCAATTACATTAGTAAAATATGTATAATTAAATCTGCTCCCCATGAATACCATATGCATGCATTAATTCTTGAAGTCAAATTATTTCAGTCAGTTTGGTCGCAAATCTTAAATATTTAAAAAAATATTCAAATAAAAACCTACCACATAAAAACTACCACGTATAAAGAAATAAAAAATACTCACAATTACAGGAGTCATTTGATTGGTTGAATATAATCGATGCATGATCACATAGATAAACAGAATTCCTGCAGTATACATTAAAGTCAGCACACCAGAGGCAACAAAAAATTCTGCATTACTGGAGAAGTCGTATGGAAACGTATACATTTTATAAGATATATCAGAAATATTTGCACATGATTCGGGCCCCCTGAAACCTGTCTTTCCCAATCTGAAATGCAAAACAAAAATATTATGTACACAAAGCATATTCTTTCCTTCCCTCAACATTTTAAATTTATTTTAAATTCAACATTTTAAATCAATTTTATGAAAGTTCATAATAAGTTCTGTACAGTTATTTAAATGCAATAATATTTTAAAAAGTTGTAAGTGCCTATTAATCATGCTTAGAGTTTATTACGATTATATATATATATATATATAATACAGATCAGGAATGGCCAACAAAGACCTAAGCACTGAATGCACCGATTTGAGAAAATATAAGATGCACTGAATTGAGAAAATATAAGACATACTCTTTGATTTTCCCTACAATTTAATGAACTGACAGATATAAAGTGACAAAGCACAAATGCTAATTTTTATTTGCATGGATTTTTAAAAGTTGTATGCCAAAAAGAACTGCTGGTTACGATTTCTTTGAAAGAAATGACTATATGTGTAAATAGACTCACATTTTGAAGAACCTCATCACTACACTGGAGGAACCAATCCTTAAATTAATTTTAATTATAATACATACAGCAGAAGCAATGATAAGTTTCATAAATGGATTTATAACTCTGCCAAACTGATGACCAAATCCTACCACTGCATAATTCATAAATCTGTAAAGTCAGTAAATGATTAAATTTTTTAAAAAATAATGGATAAAGGCTTTCAAAACTGTAAATTCCATTGGAGGAAGTTCCCTCCAGAAGTGTCTTTTATAACCGCAACTTAATGAAAGAAGTAGAATTATTACATACCGACGTAAAATGGATAAGTATAAGTAAATTTCTGCAACAGTTTCATGAAATGAGATAAAATGTTTTCTTGAATTCAAGAATTCTTGAAGATCAAGAAAGTGTAAATTTAAATGATAAAACCTGGATGAGTGATTTATCATTTTTTACAGATTTTACGTTGAAACTGAGTGATTGAAATTTAAAAATCCAAAGAAAAATTAAGATAATAATTGAAATTATCAATAGCATTAATGTGTACAAATCAAAATCATATATTGATCATAATAATAACCTTCAACAAAAAAAACTTAAACACTTTCTAGATATGTCCTAGCACCTAAAAACATTAAAATTGTAATTATAATATTGAAAAGTACAGTGGAGAAATTAAAGAGGTTAGTGAAGACTTTGAGGTCAGATTTCAAGATTTAAAAAAAAAAAAAAAAAAAAAAAAATATTATGCAGTTATTGATATCCATTATTTCTGTAAAACATACTGCAGCAAAAATTTCTAACACATTAATATTGAAAGAAAAGAAAAAAAAAAAAAAAAAGGCATTAGAAATATTATATTTCTAAAAACTGATCTAACCTTACAAATCAGAGAACTTGAAGAAGATATGCCAATCGAGAAAAGTATCTTAGCATCACCAAATTTAGCGAATATTTATATTCTTGTTTTGGATCTACATTCTTATGTGAATCAACTTTTTCATCGGGTTTAACATAAGTTTTCCACCACCACAAATATTGTCTACACAAAAAGTTTGCACTACCACATTTAATCATATTTTGTCAAACAATTTTTGGCATTTGAAATAACACTGTGTTGTGAAATTTGTAAAAAAAAAATGAGTACGATTAAGTGCTTTAGAACACTGTGTTGTTATATTTGTAAAAAAAAATATGATTAACATTAAGTGCTTTAGAACACTATGTTGTGAAATTTGAAAAAAAAAAAAAAAAAAAAAAAAAAAAAAAAAACCCATTACCATAAGTACAAGGTGTCTGAAATGGAACTATAATGCTACCAGATTAGAACCATCATTTACTTCCACTTCTGTAGCAAACAATCAGCCACAGAATGTCACCAAACCATGTGTACAGCTTTAGATACTAATGTTGTATCATATGACATTGTAAAAGCTTGGTACTGAAAGTTCAAAAACATGAACTATGACATTCAAGAAGCAGCATGTTCTGGCCGGCCTACTGATGGAATGAGGCCCGCCTGCGAGAACTTGTGGAAGAAGATCAATATGCAACCACTCGAGAGCTTGTTCACGAGTCAGACATTAGAGCCATGTCCATTAATAGCGCTATGCATTGCATAAATTTGATGTACAAGTTCAACAGTTGGGTGCCACATGAGCTGACTCAAACAGATAAGGATGGACATGTTCGGGCCTGCACTAATCTACTCGAATACCAACGCAAGGACAAAATTCTGGACCGGATCATCACTTTCGATGAAAGGTGGATTTACTTCAACAACACAGGTAAAAGTGGTTAGGTCTGTGCCTGGTCAGCCGTCAGCTGCGTCGCAAAAAGCAATTTGACTAAGGAAAAAACTCATCCTTTGTATCTGGTGAGATTGTTGTAGTATTATCCACAAAGGGTATCAGGGAAAAGGTAAAACACTCGACAGTAAAGTGTATAGCGAAATGCTAGTCCATGTTGACACTGCTATCAAGGAAAAACATCGAACTGAGTTCTGGCACATAATGTTTTGTCTAGATAATGCACGACCACATGTATCTGTATTTGTTGCCCGAATCAGAGTTAATGTCATAGCCACTATATAGCCCCAATATCGCTCCTTCGAATTTCTACCTTTCTCCACACCTGCAGCTACATCTTGCTGGTGCTATCTTCCATTCTGCACAGGAAGTTCGAAATGAGGTTGTTCTGTTTTTGGAGTTACGGTCACAAAGTTTCTGGGCTGAACGCTTTAAAAAACTACCACAACATTGACAGAAAATCATAGATTTTGGTATTGATTACCACTTGCACTAAAGATTACTGCTTTCATGTTTTTTATTCTAACTTTATTGAAAACGGTTTTTGGCGGGAAAACTTTCATAGCAAACACATCTATTTAAAATTCATAAAGACTAAACAAATTACCTATTTACTAATCCCCCACACTGAAGATTCATTATCATAATCTTTCTTTGGACACACACATTACGTAAAGTTGGATACATGCAAATGCAGATTTCTCATTAATGGTGAGACAATTAAATAAAATATAATCTCTATTTTGTTCTCTGGCTACCTTTCAATGAATAAATATCATTAATAAAATATATTCTTTTAATGCCCTGTACCCACTGTCACTTTAGTACAAGAGAAAAGTTTGAATGTGTTATATGTCAAGATTTTCACAGGTAGATTGTGACATATTTTTCAGTAATAATTATAAAAGCCAAATAATAAAAATATTTTATTATGATAATGCTTACTTAAATGGATATCCAAATTTATACTGTACAGTCCTTTCAAATGCTTTGCATTTAATTTCAAGAGTAACAAATGTTTCAAAGCCAGCAGTTGTTGCGAATGCAAATATAGACATCACCTGAAATAAAAAGGAAATACTTGATTGTACATAAAACTGTGGGAAACACATGCAGTAGGAGATAAATATTGAATAGAAAGATGTAACATTTATGGATACCAAATGACTTAGCACTTGAAATTATACAGGAAACAAAATACAATTTACTTTACTAACAATTTGTTTCTAACTATAAACAATAAAATGATTAATTTCGGAAGGTTTGTGAAATTTCGAGTTATACATTAAATTTATTTATTTCTTAAATGTGTATATTTGTGTATTAACTTATTTATCGAAATAAATTGTTGTATAAGATATATGAAAATTTCTGAAAAGTTTTAAAGACTACTAAATACACTTTTTACATCAAAATTCTGTTACAACACATAAGTTTAGAGCATTTTAACACAGGAAAACAGTGAATTTTTGCTTTGCCTTAAAAAAAAAATCTGTGCTTTTTTTTTAACGTTAAAATCCATTTTACCACATATTTATAAATAAGGCAAGAACACATTTTTTTCTTCAAAAGTTTATCCAAAATTAAAAATTTGTATATTGAACTAAACTGAAAAAAAGAAGGAAAAAATCTTCTAACTTTCAAGCATGTCACGATGAGGGCAAAAATGTTGCCAAGCAGGTACAAGGGGTGGAATGTTACACAATCAAATAGTTGTAATATCAAACGGCAGTTGCAATAATTTAACCCTATCTGAAGCTAGCAGATTTTTCCCCATCAATTTGTTGTCTTGTATACATTCCACGGTATTTGTGTCAGTATTATTTTATGTGCCATTTTATCTTTGTCAGAAGGATAAGTGGAGAGATAAATTCTTACACGGCAAATTTCAAATCACAGATGATCATGTATGCTGAAATTTCTAACAGCATAGCTGCATAGCATTTCTCTTAACTAAAAACCAAGTTCAAGAAAGCAGGAAAAAATATCTTGAATTAGCAGAGATGTCAAAATTGAAAAAGGCAGCAAGTGGTTGCTTTCCATTAGCCATACACAAATTTCATCAACATCAGAGTTTGCTTTTTGACAACGATGCAATCAATCAACCAGCAATGTCATGAATTTCGAAAATAAAATAATTCATTTTCACAAAACGAATAACTCATTCTAAATTAATATTTTTCATAAATTTAAGAAATATATATTAAAATAGATGAAAAAAGGGCTATATTTAGCAATTCACCACTTGTGCCGACTAACAGAAAAGCAAAAACACTTTTTGCGAGATAAGCAAATCCATATATAAGCTGACCCTCTTAAAATACCAATATTTTCTTAATTAGTGAATCATAAATAAAATAATTCTGTACCAGTTATAACATCTTTTATTGATCATAATTTTAATAATACTCATAAAAATAAGCAATTAGATAGGCTATATTATAAACTAAATATATTACAAATTTAATAAATTATACAGCATTTAAAAATAATGATATATAAGTACTTTTCTGTTAATGGGATGCCACTTAGTGTCTAACATAAACATTGTTACGAAATCGGGTAAAGTGCAGAATCGCCCACTTATATGGCGCCTAAGAAAAAGTATCGAACAGTTCACGATTTTTACAAAAATGATGAGATGCAGCAGTATCAAAAATCCAACTATCATCATTTTCCTCCAAATTGTTAACATTAGCTTGAGCTATAAAATGGGACTGAGCATGGGAATTATTTTTACCTTTACTCAACTTGGGTTTATTCTTACACTTAGGAGATGTTTTATTACTACTAGATACAGCTGAGGAAACAGAAGAAGCAGGCGAGGGTGATCTGGAAAAATTACCTTTCATTCTACAGAATTTTTGAATATGACCTGGACGGCCACATTTATAACACTTGAGCCCTTTAATCTGCTTAAATTTGTGTTCACAGTGAGTACTTTAGACTTCTATAGTCTTATTGGAATTTTCCCTATCTATCTCTCTTAAACCAAGATGTGTTTTCTCTGCTAGTATTTAAAGTTCAACATTTTTAAATATGAACTTCTCATCTGGCCACCTCAAAACATTCTGAACTACTTGATCAAATTTATCTGGAAGGAACCTAAGAAACTGAAAACATATATATACATCTCTTACAGCCTGATTAATATCAGCTAACTGTTCAGTTACATGTTTTAATCTAGAAGAAAAGAAACTAATGCTTTCATTTGGCTTAATTTTACAATTTAAGAACTCTGAAAACAAGGACATATGTCTAGATCGATAATCTGGCTGGAAGTATTTGGCAAGCGTATTCCATGCCACTACCGGGTCATCAATTTCACTTATCAAGTTTCTATATTCAGGGCTTACATTTATATAAATTAAAGATAATGCCAAACGACTTCTATTTTGATAGTCAGCAACAATTTCTTTTGTAATACCCTTAACATCATTTAAATCAGGACACTTTTCAATACCCTTGACCAAAAGCCATGCATTTTTTTCATTTAAAACAAACTTCATATTTTTAGACCATGTAAAGTAATTACATGCCTCAAGTTTAGCAATATTATGCATAACATTAACAGTACCATATTTGAATTTTAACAAAAACCACCCCCCCAATCTCTTAAGTCCTAAATTAACTTTAAACTTCAAAAGTCTGCACTAAAAATAACTCGGGGGCTGGGCCCATAACCAAAATGATGCTAAAGCAAAGTTTAAAGTTTATAAAATTAAAACATTTTAGCAATAGTAGCAATAAAAGCTTCCTGAGATAGTATGTTGTGCAGACATTGAAGACAATAAAGATGTTTCCAACTTAACTAACTTATTAACAATATAAAAAAGGATAAAAACACAAAAAATAAATTTAAACAATATCAGAGTCTTAGAAAAAAATACATTATAACCATCATTCATCAAATAGCATTTTTACCTGGTCTCCAAAAATACTGGCATTCAATACAAACAAAATGTCCTAAACAGTAATTATGCGGTCTCAAATGATATTGGCTACACATTCAATAAGTCCATGATCAATGGTCAAGAAAGCACCTGAAATTTAAATTAAGTTCTTGAAAGCACTTAAATCCGGCCTAACTCCGCTTTACACTAGTTGAACACGAGGAATCGCCGCTAACTTATTTTAAATGCCACCTTCATGAAGAACATGGATGCCGCCCATGGCAGTCACTCACATTGTAGCCTCTGAAACCAAGGAACTTATTCAGGAACAGTCATCTTGTGGACAGGAACCAAGGAACTTATTCAGGAACAGTTATCTTGTGGACAGGAACCAAGGAACTTATTCACTGGACTACACGCATCCTTCAAAAGGGGCTGGAAACCGCACACCCAAGTGCCAGGAAAGCAGGAACTAGAAGGGCTGAGCCAGAGCGATGCGAGATACTTATACCAGAAGTAGGCATGACGTCATCTCATGGCAACCAATCAGCTATCGGCACGAATTCGGCTTTCCTGATGACGTAACATCACGTTTCGTTTTTGCATCTTAATTAGGTTGAAACAGTCCGTTCTCAACGCAAACAGTAGCAGTAAGAAAAAAGAAGTAGAAGTAACTACTATATTGCATTAAAATAAGAACTAAGCCTAATAAAACATTTGAAGGAGGAGAGATGATGCAGTAAAAAGGTTACAATAAGTTATATTTTCCAACAAATTCTCTTATTTTTTTTAAGTGAAAATAGGTCGATGTGTACATGGATACCGAATTTGTGCAATCTTTGACTTGTTATTTTTAAGTTGATGCAGAATCGCCCACTTAGATGGTGCATATCAATGTGTATATGGACAAAGTCAAGGAAGTGTACAATACCAAGTTTGTGCAATTCTCTGGGTTTTTTTTAAAGTGAAAATAGGTCGATGTGTACATGGATACCGAGTTTATGCAATTCTTTGACTTGTTATTTTCAACCTGGCGATTTTGCAAAACGCACGAAGTAGTGGGCGATTCTGCACTTTCCCCACAAAATCTAACTATATGGCTGCAACCCTAATGATATATTAAGCTTCATGAAAAAAATTTATATTTATTAAACCTGTAAGTGGCATGACTACCTTTATTTAGTCATGAGACTTTTTGTCCCATGGTATATACAGTACAAAGTCTTTAATCCGGACTCGTCGGAACCTTAGACGATTCCGGATTAGCGGTTTTTCCAGATTACAGATCATCAATTTAAATCTGGTAAGATGGCATGCAGAAATTATAAAATCAAAAATATGAAACCATAATTCATGAAATAAAGAGCAATTATGATCTAAAGGGTATCAAAATTTACAAAAAAAAAAAAGCTTAATACTTATTTGTTTAATTTATTAATCATTTCTTTCAATGTAAGTTGTTGAAGTTGCTTCGTTTTATGTGCTAATACTTTCTCTTTAATTCTATAAACAGACATAATTTCTTGTTCAGTTACAAAGTTCCGCTGTTCAAGTCCTGTAATTGCGGTGCCGAGAATAACGAATAACTTGTCAATCGAAATTTTTTTGTTTTCACTAACCTCCCTGTCACTTTCTTCATGCCTTTATCCATTTTTTGCAGCAATTCCACTTTTCGTTTGATGGACATTGAAACATGCTTTCGCTTTGTAGATCCTTTGGCAGCTCCAGAATCGGAAACTCTTTTTGACATAATCGAAAGTTCAAGCTTACTTTTTATAAAATTGCTCTAACAGTCTGCAAAAAATAATAAGCTGGATCCAATTAGAAGATTAAGGAACAGTGCAATCTGCAACATTAACTGAAATAGATAATTTTAGCCTAGCTTATACCGTCGTTATACATTAAACGCACATACGTAAAGGTATTATGCGCATGCGTAAACGCTATGCACGTGCAGAAAGTTTGTAGCTTTGAGGACTGGATTATAGATCATTCCGGATTATGGACATCCAGATTAAATACTTTATGCTGTATTAGCTAATAATTTAAATAATTTTGTTTGCTTATTTTCTTTAATAATGTCAATGCCATCTTAATTAATGGATGTTTATGAAAACAGAGATTAAATAAGTACTTATATAAATTTAGTTAATGTATACAGTTTAAATACAATTTTCATGAGCAGATCCAAAAGTCTGTGACACTCAATCAGTTCATTAATAATGTATTTTATAATAGAATATATATGTTTAATATGCACAACACTGAATTTGCAGAATTCTGTGATTTTTTTAAGTGAAAACAATAGTTCTCTCCACATACACAGTGATCTGACAACCTTGACATTGCACACATTAACAATGCGCAGCTATTCATGACAATTAGGCTAACACACTTGGTGCTTTGCCGCACATTTGACGATTGGCATCTCATTAACAGAAAAGTACCAATATAAATTATAAAGAACTGCATTTATCAGTTAAAATTTTTTTAAATTTATTAAACAATGCATTGTATTATTTAAAAGAAAACTTAAAAGACATCAAATGCATTACTCAGAATATCAAATGGATGATAAAAGGCACAGTAGCATAATATAAAGTGGCATATTGATCTTACAATTTAGAGTCACTCCACTGAAGATGTTTATAATGTTAAAAATCTATTTACAGGACATATGAAAGTAGATTGCATAATCTTACTATATTTCTATTCAAATTGTATTTTATCTCAATCTGATTATTATATACAAGGGAATACATAAAATTTATTGCTACAGAAAATGATTTTAGTTCAGGTGGTGATAAACAGGGTTTACCTTGTCTTTTACTAATGTTTCGCAGCTGTTGTCCAGTATTTGTCATTAATTAGATTTATTTTAATTTTAAATAATAATCAAATTAATTATTTTTTCCATATTTCAAAACAAACTTAAAAGTATAAATTTTTAAACATATTTACATAACAGAGGAATAAAAAATACAGTAAAAAATGCAATTGCAATTTGGTACTTATGTATTATCCTATCAACTATGAAACCGTTGCCAAGCAGCGCAGTTTAAAGCATGATGTCGCAACACACTCACATCTGCGCTTTTGTTAGATGTAAATCCTATTGATTCTTGATAAATCATGATTTGTTTCTATGATCAAGGATACAAATTAACTGCTACTGCTCTATTTTTCCTCTGCTTTAAAAAAAAATGATCAAAATTTGGGAGGTTCTTTCTATAAAAAACAAACAGTGCATTATTTTTTAACTTACGGAATCCTACCATAAAAAAGTGTGTATTTAACAGATATATCATCAGCTGAATATGGGCAACAAAACAGTAATACATTAAAACAGTTACCTAAGAGTAGATTGTGTTAGCATTCTAAACAGAGCTTTCTATAAAATAGGGGCGGCTAACAAAATAGTAAAAATCAACAAAAGCATTTTTATGAATGGAAAAATAAGCGAGTCCAGAACCGATTGTTTATTAAATAAAGAGGCATCAGTTCCTTCAGAATTCTACAGAAAGAATTACAGTAATTTTGGCAGAATGTCTGCTAACTCTCACAGTTTCATGATGGTAACTCAATGGTCAATGGGAAAATACACTACCCAACATCGCAAATGCAACACGAAGATGGGGTGGCCCAAATGCAAATTTAAGGGTAGACGCACATCAACAAGTTATGCTAATGATGTGAAATGCATAGCTCTCCAGCACACATTGAAGAAAATATAAGGGAAGGAACCTCGAGAATGTTCAATTTTTGTGTCGTTATTTCTACTAGGAAAATCATCATAGAAAATTTCTTCTTGTCTTAGAGGATGTATGCAATAGCAGAGAATGCCATCGTCGACAGAGGCAGTTCCAGTAGGCAGACAATTTTACGAAGGGCATGGTAATCAAACTGAGAAGGGCAGGTTGGTCCATATTGGAAATCTCAGCTGACACATATCTGGATGCATCCACAGTGCACCAGCTGTGGTGACACTGGTTGGAACAAGGAAATGTGACAAGTTTGAGGGGAGCCGGTTCAGCCAGAGTGATGTCAGCATACATGAATCGATGCATCCGCCGACAAGCAGGGGGTGCTCCCCGCAAATCACTTCTACTTCCAATCCACAGCATGTTTAAGACATCCTAGATGTTCCCATATCAACCAGAACCATCTACCATCAATTGGTAGCTAGTGGATTGCACTTGTGGCATCCATTAAAAAGACAGCCTTGAGCCCACATCAAAGACACCAATGTGTGCCATGGTGCTCGGCTCGAGCAATGTGGATGATGGAATGGCACAGGGTCATGTTTTCGAATTAGTCATATTTCTGTTTCCCCAATTATAGTCACCACATATGAGTGTGGCATCAATATAGAGATAGGTCCCAGCTGGCAGCAACTGTAGAATGCCCCACCACATGACTTCACGGCACCATGGTTTGAGGCACAATCCTGTACGATTCTGGGTCCCCTCTAGTTCGTATTCAGGATACTATCACAATCCAACGATATGTGGATGATGTGCGGTGGCCGGTGTCACTTCCCTACCTTAGGGACTTCCCAATGCCCTTTGTAAGCAGGATAACACCCAATCCCACACTGTTCGCATCAGCCAAAAGGCTTTGCAAGGAGTACAGATCCTTCTCTGGCCACCGTTCTCTCCTGATCTCTCACCAATCAAATACATTTGGGATGTGATTGAATCTCATTTGCCGACGCTGCCATTGCTGCATTCAGAAGATAAACTGTGGCAAATAGTTGACAGGGAATGGAGAGCCATTCCTCAAGACACCATCCATAATCTCTTTGACTCTGTACCTAGACGTGTTGCTTTGTGTATCGCCGTCCAAGGTGGTCCTACAACCTACTGAGCCACTAACTAAGTCAGCATGCAGTTCCACATTCTCAAACACACAAGTCTACTCCTAAAACTTACATGAGTTCCTATTATCAAATAATGTACAATCAAATGTATTTAACATTTCCTCTTCTGTATATGCATAATACTTAATTTTTTATTTTTATTTATTTATTTTTTAACCTATGAGCCTGTATTTTATTCCTATTATTTTGTAACTGTATTTTTGTATCTGTATATTTAATTTGTTATTTTTTTGAATTTTATGTGAATATGCAAAATTACCATAGCAAATTGCAACAACAAATGTCAAAACGGTAAAACGAATGCAATCTGCCCTTGTATGGCCATGTAAATGTTCTTGTTAACATCCTAAAAAGCTCTTGAGGCCTCAGGGAGTTGTTCCTGGTTAGTGGAGGGCACGGGACACATGCCTATTTACCTCTGTTAGACATCAGGCGTCCCAGTCCTCCGTTACCAACCAACCAACCAACCTACTGAGCCAATGCTGTTCTCGCTCTGTATTCTGCATACCATTTTGAAATGAAGATCACTTGTTTTTCGTTCCTGTCTCTCTCCGTTTGCCGAGTTTCATCACGTTCTAGCCACTCCTTCTTGATGTTGCATTTTCATTATTCGGATAGTGTAAGTTAAGTACCTAAAGTCGGACTTCATGGAGACCATAAAGTTGAATCAAACATTTATCAAAACAGTCAAACAAGTATTCATGTCTTAAATTAAGCTTTTATATTAAGCTCGTGCTCATAAAATAAAGTTCCTGATTTTGTTTTATAACTTTAACAACTTTATTATTAGAGTGGAGTATGGATAATCGGAGTACAATTTTTTCCGCCTCATCATTCCCATTTAACATGGTTCGCTATGTGAAAAGAACAAAAATGAAGCTGCCTTCTAGTACTACTTCAGACAAGGTGAAGAAAATAAGTGTCGCGCAATAATGATGATACATTTTATGATTGCTGATAGGGAAGGATCAGGAAAGGCCTGAAGTGCCTTTTTCAAAGTAACAGACTATAGTGGAATTAAAGCTATACTGATGCATAATTTTTAATTATATAATTCAGAAACATATTTTCTATTATTCACTTTAATATCTAATTAACAAACAAAAACCAGCTTCTGTTATAATGTTTATACTTTATAAATAAATAAAAATAAAACTTAGTGCCTTTTTCAAAGTAACAGACTATAGTGGAATTAAAGCTATACTGATGAATAATTTTTAATTATATAATTCAGAAACATATTTTCTATTATTCACTTTACAATCAAATTAACAAACAAAAGCCAGTTTCTGTTATAATGTTTATACTTTATAAATAAATAAGAATAAAACTTACAATTTGAATGATTCGAATGAACCCTCGAGGCTCAATCAAAACTCTTAAATTCAGGTCCATGACTAGGCAAAACTCTGAAAAATACACATGTTACAAAAACACATGGCACAAAACATGGCATAAAAGCAATCACACAAAATCAAGCACACTAAAAGCCCAAATATCTGGCATTTGGCTAATCAGAAAGCTCAAGCAACTGGAATATTTTCGAATTTTAGAAACTTTTCTTTTAAATATAAAATAATCTTACTTCCTTAAACAAATAACAGATTTGTAATTCTGTTATAAAGCATGAATATGACTATTCAAATCAATGAATTGACGATTCAAATCAAACAAAAACTGTTGCCAAACAGAGCAATTTATCAAAAATAACAGATAAGCATGACATAACACTTCAGCTTTATGTAACCTAGCTAATTCTCCACAATTCAGTTTAGTTTTTGTAAAAAAGTGACATATAATTGCTGTTTATCTGTTTTTTTCAATTTCATTGAAAAAAATAATTAAAATTTGGGACTTGTCTTCAATTGAACAGCAGTAGAGTATTTTCAAATTTACAGGATCCTGGCATCAACAAAAGTGGTACCTATGTGAAAAAGGATAAACACAGAGAGTGGAACATGAAAAATCATAAGAAGTTATACAGCACAAAGTCTTTAATCCGGACTCATTGGGACTTCCGCAATTCCGGATTAGGGGTTTTTCCGGATTATAAACCATCAATTTAAATCTGGTAAGATGGCATACAGAAATTATAAAATTAAAAATATGAAACCGTAATTTATGAAATAAAGAGCAATTATGATTTAAAGGGTATCAAAATTTACATAAAAAAGCTTAATATTTATTTACTTTATTAAGCATTTCTTTCAATGTAAGTTGTTTAAGTTGCTTCATTTTATGTGCTAATACTTTCTCTTTAATTCTATAAACAGACATAATTTCTTGTTCAGTTACAAAGTTCCGCTGTTCAAGTTCTGTAATTGCTGTGCCAAGAATAACGAATAACTTATCAATCGAAATTTTTTGGTTTTCACTAACCTCTCTGTCACTTTCTTCATGCCTTTATCCATTTTTTGCAGCAATTCCACTTTTCGGTTTGACATGAAACATGCTTTCACTTTGTTGATCCTTTGGCAGCTCCAGAATCGGAAACTCTTTTGGACATAATCGAAAGCTCAAGCTTACTTTTTATAAAATTGCTCTAACAGTCTGCAAAAAATAATAAGCTGGATCCAATTAGAAGATTAAGGAACAGCGCAATCTGCAACATTAACTGAAATAGATAATTAGATAATTTTAGCCTAGCTTATAGCATCCGTTATACATTAAATACGCATGCATAAACATATTATGCACATCGCAAATGCATACTGCGTTTACACATGTACAGAAAGTTTGTAGCTTTGAGGTCCGGATTACGGATCATTTTGGATTATGGACGTCCAGATTAAAGACTTTGTACTGTATAAGTTTCAGTTTTTTACATCTTTTGTCTGTAACTTGTATATATTGATTAACTAAATAAAGAGTGATCTCTCCTTTAAACCTTTTACCAGAATAACTGGTGCAAGTTTGGTGAGATAATCAATTTTCATGGTCGACGGATTTTTGTAATTGAATATAATGTTTTACTTAGGTGTTTATATTTGGAATGCCCTTCTTTCTTTCAAAATCTCACATAATTTATATATAGACATTTTATAATAAGTTGGTAACAAATAAATAACTCTTTTTATAATTTCCGACAGGAAATTTTCTTTTTACTTATTTCACTTTTCTACCACGAACTGCATTTTTAAATACACTCAGTTAACTAGAATTTTCACATAACATCTGGATGTCATTTCCTGAGCTTTCCAGGTAGTAATGCACTTCCTGGATTAAAAAAATAACTGCACATAGATAAAATTTCAAAATGAGAGGAACCTTATCGATAACAATGTTTCTTATGATGACCTCTGAAGGTCACTAGTATTCTTGCATATATAAATAAGAAATGGTAAAGGTCACCCCTTTATGATGCCCCTTGATAGAAAACCCAGAATCATTTTAATTTGGATTACTCAAGTTACAGCAAAGCACTGAAGGGTTATCTGTCTATGCAGAAGGATGCTGGACATCGTCACAGAAGTCTACGCCAATTGTTACATGTCCAGCATTCATGGGGAAAGCTAAGAAAATTCCTATACTGCTAAAATCTAAACATGGACTAAGCTACATTCAGCTATTCAGACATTCTATCATTCAGCTATTGCTGAGCTCTGAAATCCTTCGGAACTATGGATGATCATACTTATATATATTATTCTTTATGGTACATATACCGTATTTGACGGCATATAAGACGCACTTTTTTTCCTAAATTTGGTCTCAAAAAAGTTACCTGCATCTTATACGTGAAGGACACAGGTTAACTTTCAATACTGAATGCTATTTTTAGCCCGGATAAAGGTCTAGACACACATAACGTTTTCTATATCTGCTATAATTATTTTGCGCATGCGTGAAATATCTGTTGCCAAAAAGCGCCAAAGCTCGAAGCTGATGTCGAAGTTCGAATAGGTTTGACGGTCACATTACATCTATGGAGCTTTTCCTTCTTTACATAGACTTTCTTTGACTCAGCCGACACACGTGTCGGTATTGGTGCTACTCTGTATAAACGCGTCAGTATCGGTGCTTAAAACTATTTGTTTTAAAAAAATACCCTGGAAAATATGTCTACAGGAAACAAGAGATTAAGCTATACAATTCAATATAAACTAGGAGTGTTAAACTACGTCAAAGTGCATGGAAACAGAGCAGCAGCAAGGCATTTTGGTCCACCACCTACCGAAAAAATGATACACTGGAATGAAACTATGGTTACAGAATATATGGGTGAGGCGATCTGGTGGACTCTTCAGAAAACCCTCTCTTTTGATTTTGGATCAGTTTAGCGCCCATAGAACTGAAACCATTAAGAATAAAGTGAGAGAATTCAAAACCAGATAGATAGAATTCCTGGTGGACTAACTAGCCAATTGCACCCTTAAATGCATCGGTGAATAAGCCATTTAAGGAAAAAGTGCGATAACGAGGCATGGGGGGGGGGGGGGGGGGGGGGGGGGGGGGGGGGGGGGGGGGGGGGGGGGGGGGGGGGGGGGGGGGGGGGGGGGGGGAGGAAAAAAAAAAAAAAAATAAAAAAAAAAAAAAAAAAAAAAAAAAAAAAAAAAAAAAAAAAAACAAAAAAAAAAAAAAAAAAAAAAAAAAAAAAAAAAAAAAAAAACAAAAGGAAAAAAAAAAAAAAAAAAAAAACAAAAAAAAAAAAAAAAAAAAAAAAAAAAAAAAAAAAAAAAAAAAAAAAAAAAAAAAAAAAAAAAAAAAAAAAAAAAAAAAAAAAAAAAAAAAAAAAAAAACAAAAAAAAAAAAAAAAAAAAAAAAAAAAAAAAAAAAAAAAAAAAAAAAAAAAAAAAAAAAAAAAACAAAAAAAAAAAAAAAAAAAAAAAAAAAAAAAAAAAAAAAAAAAAAAAAAAAAAAAAAAAAAAAAAAAGAAAAAAAAAAAAAAAAAAAAAAAAAAAAAAAAAAAAAAAAAAAAAAAAAAAAAAAAAAAACGCCCAGGTAGAATGAACGCCTTATTTCACAAGTGTGCGAGTGGGTAAAAAGATCTTGGGAGGACGAAAGGCTTAAGTAATGTTAAGTCCTTACGAAATGCGGAATCAGTAATGCTCTTGACGGAACAGAAGACGATGCATATTTGAAGAAGGTGATACTAGCGATGAAGAAACATTAATGATGACGATTTCTCGTTTTTATGATGATATAGTGAAAAGGATTTTTATGGTTTGAAGTGATTAAAGTCTAATTCATGATAGGCAACGTTGCCTTTAATCTGTGTTTTTGTTGTTTCTGCTTTGTTTTGTATTATGTTTGATTGCTTGCCGTTCATTCATTTATTCATTATTGAAATTTACATATCATGTTCAAAATAGCTTGCCGTTTGTTAATTTTCCTTAATTAAAATATGTTTGGTAATTGCATTCAATGATTGTTTATTTGGCTTTTACGAAACGCGAGAACTAAAAGAAACCACATTTTAAGTTATTGTGGTACCGCACTATCAAGCAGACTATTAAAACATTTTTACCTTGTGTGTGGCCTTCTAAATAAGGGTGCATCTTATATGCCGTCAAATACGGTATTTATAATTTATTGAGAGACTTTTTGTTAAGGAGCACATTAATTTGATTGGGTGGTGATCTTTGATTTTAGAATAACCTTTTGTGAATAGCTTTGATATTTGAATTATTAGATACATATACAGTCAAAAGTCGTTAATCCGGACTCGTCGGGACTTCGGCGATTCCGGATTATCGATTTTTCCGGATTATAGATCATCAGTTTAAATCTGGTATGATGGCATATAGAAATTATAAAATTAAAAATATGAAACCATAATTTATGAAATAAAGAACAATTATGATCTAAAGGGTATCAAAATTTACAAAAAACAGCTTAATATTTATTTGTTTACTTTATTAAACATTTCTTTCAATGTAAGTTGTTTAAGTTGCTTCGTTTTTCATGTGATAATACTTTCTCTTTAATTGTATAAATATACATAATTTCTTGTTCAGTTACAAAGTTCCGCTGTTCAAGTCCTATAATTGCTGTGTCTACCGACTAATTTTTCAATTGAATTTTTTTCGTTTTCAATAAGCTCTGTCACTTTCTTCGCTATCAGAAGCGAATTATAATGATGAGGAATTGATTTAAATCATATCAAAGACGAAATACATCGACATGAAATACTACATTTAGTAAGGAATTATAAGCCAAATAAAATAAAAACATCGGTTAATCTTTGGATTATGGTAACTTGGCGATTCTTTGGCGACCAACCCTGCTACAGCAACCTGCTAGTTTTTGTTTGGATGCCAGTTTGTTTTCACGAAGTAAAGGCCTTTTTTTATTTATTTATTTATTTTTTAATTTTTTTGTTTTTACTTAACATTTTTTTCCAACAATCTGCTAGCCGAATTACGCTAATGCTAGAACTTTTGTGGAACAAAAGTGCTTAATCATGACGAAGATTAGTTGCGAAATTGGGACAAAGTGCAGAATCGCCAACTGCTTGCCGCGTTTTTAAAAATTGCCTATTTTCACTTAAAAAAAAATCCCAGAATTGCACAAAAATGGCATTGCGCACACTCTTGACTTTATCCATGTACACTGCTAAAATCCTAGCTAGTAACCTTTATCGCCTTACCAAAATGTCGCCATACTACCTGTTACCATATTCCAAAGATTAGCCAAAACATCTGCCCTGAAGATAAGGATAGTGCTGACAGATCAATCAATTCATGCGCACTGCTGCGTAAAGAAAACAAAGTTTAGATAAACAAATCTTAAAGTTTAGATCAAAGAATATGCCTTAATCCATTTTTGCAGCAATTCCACTTTTTGTTAATAAATTCGAATATACTTCGCTTTGTAGATCCTTTAATATTAATAAATATATATCAGAAACTCTTTTTGACATAATCGAAGTTCAAGCTTACTTTTTATAAAATTGCTCTGACAGTCTGCAAAAAATAATAAGCTGGATCCAATTTGAAGATTAAGGAACAACGCAATCTGCAACATTAACTGAAATAGATAATTTTAGCTTAGCTTATACCGTCCGTTATACATTAAACACGCACTCGTAAACGTATTTTGCGCATGCGCACAAGCATATTTGCAGCCGTAAAGGTCTTACGTTGACGCATGCGCAGAAAGTTTGTAGCTTTGAGGTCCGGATTATAGATCATTCCGGATAATGGGTGTCCGAATTAACGACTTTTGACTGTATATAGTATTATGAAAATATATATATGTGTATGTAATAATTCAAATGTTGGTGATGTAGATGCATAAAAATAATAGCAATCATAATGGCCATGTGAATACATTTTTATTTACACACGTGCACATATAACTTGACACGGAAACATGTAAGCCGACACAAAATGCATGCACTTTCTTGATAATTAAATTTATGTCTTTTTGGCATCATTATGATAATATTATTAGAGAAAAAAAGGTAAACTAAGACATGCTGGTAGAACAGAGAAGCACAGAAGTAATGTGTCAATCATAGCATAAAGACATAATTCAGTTTTGGTTCAAATTCCTTCTGACCAGTTTCTAAAGTTTCAGTTTGCAAATTACTACATTATAACTGGCTAAACCATAATAATTACCAGCATTGTTAACATTATATAAGAAAGAGTAATTTTGGTTGACCTAGTTTACAGAAATTTATTATAAGCAGTTACTATTTTTAAAACAGAATGGAGAAATATCCAAAGTTAAGAGGCTACAGCAAATTCAAGTTGGAATTTAGATTTATATATTTTTCACCTTACACACACATATATAATGAAAAAAATGTTTTCTGTAGCAGAATTAGTTAAAAGAAAAAAAAATTCTCATAGTCTGAATTGTTAAGGCAGAAACCTAGAATTTCATATTTAATAAAATTTAATTTCATATAAGCTTTAAATAATTATTTTTTTTTCCCCTTCATTGAAAAGATTTAAACTATGAAATTATGACCTTTTTCATCTCTACTTTTGCATGTTATGTAGCAATCTCCCCTTTCCTCCTTCTATTAAAAAAGAAAAGCCTTTTAGTAACATCAGGAAAAATTTACTTAATGTAATTTTGTCCAAGAAGGACTTTTTTTCTAAACTTAAATTTCATACTTTTTACAAAAACAGGTTAAGAAATGAAACTTAAACTGCTATAGGCAAAAAAGGCCTACCTAATTTGATTCATTTTTTAATACAGAGAGCTCTAAGTCTATGCCATTGGAGATAATTAGCTATATAATCTTTTATTTCAAAACAATTTTTCCTACAAAAATTTAATTTCACATCTTCTGTGATGAAATCTTTTTTGGTTATATCAGACAAGGTTTGCTTGGAAATTAAATTTAAAATAGCATTAAACAGATTTATAGATGATATTATAGGTAATGATTCCTCGGTAAAAAAAGGGAAAAAATTATAACACTAAGTAATACAAAAATTCCACTTACTAAAATATTCATGATGTTATAATTATTAAAAGCAAAATTTCTTAATTTAATTTTAAGATTCATTTGCATATTTAATTATACATGCTGCCATTTTGAAGATGAAAATAATAACATTAAAAACAAGAAACTAAACTTTCGCTTTGCTGTTGCTTGACATATTTATTTTCAGAAGTTCACCATGGCAATAGCCCCAGAAAAATAAACTTGCATCAATACTTGACATGTTTTTTTTTTTTTTTTTTTATTTTTTATTGGTATTTAAAGGTATAGAACTCTCATTCTTGTATATTATAGCATAATGAACATTTTTATGCATCATGTTTTTTAAATTCGACACCTACTGCATGATCACCATTTTTTAAGAGGCCTGGTTATATATAATGTTGGCAATGCTTTTACAATTCAATACCTTACCTTAAGAAACTTTACTGGAAGTATATACAACTCAAATCAGTATTTACAAAAAAAAAAAGTTCATGAACACTTTTTAAAATATTCATACTTTACTGCAGAGATTCCAAATGCTTAGACAAAGCTATTCGTAAAAGGTTATTCTAAAAACAAAGATAACTAGCCAATCAAATAAATGTGCTCCTTAACAAAAAGTCTCACAATAAATTATAAATATATGCATCGACAAATGCACAAAATTAAAAAGCATATTTGTAGATTTATATAGCATGCAGTTTATTCTGAAAAAAAGTACTGAAAACTGAATATTCTTCTAAAAACATTCAAAATCTAAAACACACTTCTATCATTTTATTACAAAAAATAATAAATAAACAAATTAAAAAAATCCTGCAGTTGGACACAATCAAAAGCTTAGATTTAATTTTTTAAGAAGGTCTCAGTTAAAATAAAGAAATTAAAGCGGTAAATTTATTCATAGGCAACAACAGGGAGGAATAATGCATAAAATAGCGGTAATATACACTTCTTCCCATGTAAATGTTTTGGCTCAAAATTACACATTTAACGATTTATAATAATTTAAAGTGTAATAAAAAACAGTACAAAACAAATAATTTCCTAAAAGCTATACGAAATCTAGTGTTCATATTAATTCATTTAATTTTCCAGCGTAATACTAAAAATTAAAATGATGATGAAAATTTATGCAAAATTAAGCAAACAAGAATAAAGATATAAACCAAAATACACATGAAGTTTTAAAGTATACGGGTTATCCGAAAGCAAAATAACAGATAAATAAAATTTACTATAAATAAAAGGTATCAATAGGTAAGTATAGAAACAATTATAATTGATCTCATCGTAAAATACGTACGTTATTGCAGATGTTTTATTTACTAATATAGAGTGAACAGATGAAATTTAGTTTCTTTTCAAGCAAATTTCTTATGAGTTCTTCGATAATTTATAAAGAAAACCACATACTTCTATCAACTCATGCACTGCTGCAAATGTTAAAACGACCTATTTGCGCTAACTTCAGCCTTTCGCCGATCGATAGCCTTGATGTTGCCAAATGTCATCAAAGTTCACTTTTAGCATTTCCTAACTAAAAGTAAAAATATAATGAATTATCGTCTCATATATTTCCATGTAAAGACCTGTCTTTTTGAAATTCCAAAAAATTAAGCTGATATTAAAGTAATCATTAATGAAGCTATTGTGTCGATAAACTTTAATTGTGAGCCAATTAATTCAAATTAATTGTGTTTTCAGTTTTTAATTTTAATTGAAATTGTTCAGATTACATTAATGTAGCAAGATTTTCATTCTTTTAGTAGTTAAATGCTAAGTCGTTATTTTTAGTTCATATCAGTGAGTCAGCTTTTTCACAGCTGGGAATTTCGGGGTGA